GGCCTGAAATCTGCTTCTTAATGAACTCCTTTCACTTGCAGGGGCGGGGGAGGGGTGAGGAGGTGGGGACTCAGTTGCCCTCCACAGGGACATTTTAAATTGAATGAAGGGAGCAGGGTCCCTCATTAAGTCTGAAATGGGGGCAGGAGGCTCTCTGGAAGGGAGGCCTGGCCCAGGCCTGCATTTCCTGTTGCAGACTTAAGGCATTAACAGTAATCACCTCTTCTTCCTTCCTCTGGCAGTGCATTCTGAAGAACATCAGAACTACTTTCTTATCTACAGAGGTCCCCTTTATCCAGGAGGCCAGGGTTCCAGACCCTCCAGGGGACGCCTGAAGCTGCAGCTCCTACCCAATCTGACATAGACTAGGTTTTTCCTGCACATACACACCTAGCGAGAGTTAATTCATTAATTAGGCACCATAAGAGATCCACAGCAGTAAAATTATGAGAACAATACTAAGTTATATGAATAACTAAGTTATATGAATAACACCTCTCTCTCTCTCTCTCTCTCCCTCTTCCTCTTCCTCTCTGTCTCTCTGGAAATTCTATATTGCACTGCACTCCCTAGAGTCTAAATGTCCTGCCTGTTTTATGCCCTGGTACTTTCATTACATTGTTGTGAAAATTAAGTTCTACAGGGAATCTTCTAGAAGTGCTTGGTGTCAAGACCTTTGAACCCTTGCTCTTTTTTTTWATTTTTTTTTATTTTTGTTTTTTAGTTGTAAATGGGCGAAGCAGTACCTTTATTTTATTTGTTTATTTTTATGTGGTGCCAGGGATCAAACCCAGTGTCTCATGCATACTAGGCAAGTGCTCTACCACTGAGCCAAAACCCCAGCCCCTGAACCCTTGTTCTTTTAATTTTTTTTTTTTTTTTTTTGTACTGGGGATTGAACCCAAGGGCACTTTGCCACTGAGCCACAGCCCCAGTCCTTTTTATTTTGAGACAGGTTCTTGCTAAGTCACTTAGGGCCTCCCTAATTTGATGAGGCTCGCCTCCAAGTTGAGTTTCTCCTACCTTAGCCTCCACAGTGGCCAGGATTGCAGGCATGCACCACTGCACCTGCCTGGCTGCCAGGCTTTTTGTTTGTTTGTTTGGTGCTGAGGATGGAACCCAGGGCCTTGTGCATGCTAGGCAAGTACTCTACCAACTGAGCTATGTCCCCAGCCCTGCCATGCCCTTTTTATAAGACTGAAAACTTAGAATAAGGAGCATATATTGAGCATTTTCCATGAATCATTTTGTTGTGCTAAGTGCTTCTCAAGCCTTGATTTTATCTTTTCAAGTAGATTCCATTATTGTTTCATTCTATAAGGGAAAAAAGAAATAGAGACACAGAAAGATTAGCGATTTGTCCAAAGCAATATCCTTAGTGTGTCAAGGGGACAGATGTATAAAGGACAGCAGTAACACAATGTGATAGACTTCAAAATACAAACAATGGTTCATTCTGGGTTTTGGTACCAAAAAAAGAAAAGAAGAATATAAGCAATAATAGGTAGGCAATTCAAACATATTATGGTCAATATACATGACATGTATTTAGCTGCTTAAAGCACGAAGCATAGTAGGCACTTAAAATGTTTATTATTAAATATGATCATTATTATTAGAACCTTAAATTTTAATGGGCCCAAGATTGCCTGGGGATCTTATTAAAATGCAGATCCTGAGGGCTGATAGTCTGCAGTCTAGCTTTAGTGGTAGAAAGATTGCTTAACATCTGTGAGGTCTGGTGTTGGAGACCAAACACAGGAAAAAAAAAATTTTTTAAAGTGGATCCTAAATGGCAGGCCTGAGATTCTGCATGTCTCCTAAATTGTTAGCTCCTAGGTGATATCCATGCTGGCCCAAAAATCAGAGTAGTGCTAGACTGGGGATATAGCTCGGTTGATAGAGTGCTTGCCTTACATGCACAAGGCTCTGGGTTCAATCCCCAGCTCCACATTAAATAAATAAATAGATAGATGGCATGGTGCAAGGGAAGCATCCCAAATGTAGAAAAACAAATCACAGAACCCCAGTGATTGCAATGGTAGAAAACCAGTGGCAGAGAAGTAGAAGGGTGGTGGTGGTGGTGGTGGGGAGGACAGGAATTCTATCCCCAGCTATAAAGAAAAAGAACAAGAAAAGGACTGGCAGGCAAGAGGGTACCTTGTAACCAGTGTTGGGCAGTGACTTCAAATGAATACTTCCCTTTTCTTAATTTCCTTCAATTTGACTCCACACATTTATCGAGTACCTCAGCACCAGCCACTATGAGAACAGAAATTAGAGAAATCCAGTGGTTTCCTCAAGGATTTTTTTGTTGTTGTTTTTGTTTTTTGTTTTTTTGGTACTGGGTATTGAGTACAGGGGTCCCTAACCACTGAACAACATCCCCAGCCCTTTTTTTTAAAGACATTTTTAGTTATACATGGACACAATATCTTTATTTTGTTTATTTATTTTTATGTGGTACTGAGGATCAAAACCCAGTGCCTCACACATACTAGGCAAGTGTTCTGCCACTGAGCTACAGCCCCAGCTCCTTTAAAAAATTTTCTTTTAAATTTTTTGGGTACCAGGGATTGAACCCAGGGGTGCTTAACCATTGAGCTACATCCCCACCCCTTTTTAACATTTTTAGAGACAGGGTTTTGCTGAGTTGCTTAGGGCTTAAGTTGTTTTTTTTTTTTTTTTTTTTTTTTTTTAAGAGAGAGAAAATTTTTTAATATTTATTTATTTATTTTAGTTTTCAACAGACACAACATCTTTGTATGTGGTGCTGAGGATCAAACCCGGGCCGCACGAATGTGAGAATGTGAGAGGTGAGCATGCTACTGCTTGAGTCACATCCCCAGCCCAGGGCTTAAGTTTTTGAGGCTGCTTTGAACTTGAAATTCTCCTGCTTCAGCCTCCCAAGATGCTGGGATTACATGCATGCACCATCAGGCCCAGCCTATTTTTTATTTGAGACAGGTTCTCACCAAGTTGCTTAGGGCCTCCCTAAATTGCCAAGACTGGCCTTGAACTTGTGATCTTCTTGTCTCAACCTCCAGAGTAGCTGGGATAACAGGTTTGTACCACCCTGTGTACATTCTGAAAGCACCCTGCTTCTTGGCATCTGTTAATAATTTCCAATGTGCCAGGTGTGGTGGCACACACCTGTAATCCCAGGGACCCCTGAGCCTCACAGGAGGATCACAAGTTTGAGGACAGTCTTGGTAACTTACAGAGATCCTGTCTCAAAATAAATATAGCTGGAAAAGTAGCTCAGGGCCCATGGGTTCAATTCCCAGTATCAGAAAGTAAATTTTTTGGTCACTTGTGCATGGGATTCATTTGTGCTTGTCTGTCTCCCTGAATGAACTGTGACTCCTCAGAGGCCAGGCACTGCATCTAATTTTGTCGCTATGGGCTTAATATAGGCTCAATCAACCCCTATCATGGAATCTGGCTCAGGACAGGTGTCAATATTTGTTGAATGAATAAAACATGAATTGAAATGAAGACTGAACACAGATTTGACCTCAGGGCAGAAACCTTCTGTTCCTACCCTTCCAGAAGGGACTTTCAGGCAAGAAGAGAGGAGGTTTGTTGGAGAAGGCCAGTCACTTTTTCTGCCCCATCATCCCTGCAGGATTCTAGTGCTGCCTCCAAGCCCTCAAGCTGGACTCAAGGCTAGATGAAGCCCTTGGGTTTGGGGGTCAGGTCCCAGAATTCAGGTAGCAAACTTTTGTTTTCTCATATGTAAGAGGTGAATCAGATCAATACTCAGCCGAGGGCAGGGAGGGATCCCTAAGAAGAGAGAACATAGGCTTTGAAGAGTTGAGAGCCAGGCCTGGTGGCCTCTGCCTGTAATCCCAGAGGCTGAGGCAACAGGATCAAGAATTCAAAGCCAGCCTCAGAAATTTAGTGAGGTCCTAAGCAACTCAGCTAGAACTATCACGGCTGGGGATGAGGCTCAGTGGTTAAGCACCCATGGGTTTGATCCCTGGTACCCCACCACAAAAAAAAAAAAAAAAAAAAAAATACAGAGTTTGAGGGCTGATTGTGTATGGTGGCTCACTCCTGTAATCCCAGCTGCTTGAGAGGCTGAAGAAGGAACACCTTAAGGCAAGGCCAGCCTCAGCAATTTAGAGGCCCAGTCTAAAAGTAAAAATAGTCTGGAGATGTATAGCTCAGTTGTAGAGCACCTCTAGGTTCAATTCCCAGTGTTCATCTGCCAAAAAGAAAAAAAGATGGTTTGAGGGCTACAAAGATGCTTACTGTTTCAATAACCTCACTCCCACCTGACCACCACCAGCCCACACAATCACAGTCCTTCTGAGTAACCTTTGATGGGTCAGATTCCTCTACTCTGCAGGTTCTCAAGTGGTTCCAAGGGAATTCGTTACAAATGCAAATTCTCAGGCTTCACCTGGGGCCTCCCAGTTCAGACTGGGGGAGGCCCAGCACATGCCCTCCAAGTCTCTGATGCCCTGCAGAGTTTGGGAGCTGTGGCTTTCCTCCCTGAGGGCCATGCCTGCCTGTGGTCGTTCCCACCTCTAGTCCCAAGGCCTGGCGTCGGGTGGGCATGCGATCCTGGCTGAGGGCTGTTCACGCTAAGTCAGCGGTAGAGCACTTTAGCAGGAGTGAGACCCTGGGTGCAATCCTCAGCACCGCAAGAAATAAAGTTTTGTGAATGATTAATAACAAAGGTGATGACACTGAGAGCAAGGAGCCACGATGGAAGACCTCCTGGAGGCGAAGCTCTCAGCTTTCTGGCAGAATGGGCGTCTTTGAGCAGCCACCCCGGGGTCCTTTTACAGACAGTAAAGGGAGGCCAGGCACCTTATCCAGAGTCCGCAGCCAGGGTCCTGGCGGGGACTCCCGCGCGTGACCGCGCCGCTGCGCAGGGCCCTCCTCCGAGCCGCGGGAGGCCGGGGGCGCGCGCGGCGGGGGCGGCGCGGCCGTGGCGAAAGTGCGGCTGCGGAAGCGCGGCGAGGCCGCCGGAGGAGGAAGCGCGGCGGGGCGGCGGGGCGGCGGCAGCGGGGCCTGCGGGGCGGCCGGGGCCATGGGTCGCCTGCACTGCACGCAGGACGCGGTGCCCGAGGCCGTGGGCGGCGACATGCAGCAGCTGAACCAGCTGGGCGCGCAGGTGGGCGTCAGGGGCGCGGGGCCGGCTGCGGCCAGCTCGGGGCCTTTCGGGGCTGAGTCGAGGGATCTCGGGGCTGCGGGGCGCAGAGGTGCGGCGGGAGACTTCTCGGGCGGCCTGCGACCCCAAGACTGTGGGGTCCTCGGAGGACGACACAGCGCAGGCGCTGATGAGCTGTCCCTCGGGGAACCGTGGGAGGTCAGGGAGCGCGGGACTCCAGCACGCGTTGGGGACCAGGGGTCTGAGCACCTGGAGGCCCCGGTCTCCAAAATGTCCAAGGCGAGGCCGAGGTGGAGGCCCCGGTCCTGGTGGTGGAGCAGGAAAAGCCTTCTTCTCCCTCTTCTGCAGCAGCCAGCAAAGTCTGGACGCCCTGGTGGCATCTGTTCCCCTGCTTATTAGGATGCCCCTTTCAAACCGCCCAGGCAGCCGAGTTAAAGAGGACAAAATGACACTTCTCACCACTCTGTCTCCTACTGGGTTATAGCTTCCCAGGAGGTGGGGCCCTTGTCTTTCCTCTCCTTTCCTTTCCACCACTTCCTAACACCCCTTTTGGTGGATCAAAAGGGCACTTCCTCTGTTTTCTCGGTGACCTGGATTGTAATGCCAAGCATGGTCTAAGCCTGCATTGTCCAGCAGGAGTAAGTTGGAGGGGTTGGGGAGATAGTTCAGTGGTAGGACACTTGCCCAGCCTGTGCAAGGCCCCTAGCTTCAGTCCCCAGCACCACAAAGGAAAAAGAAAGAAATTGTAAGCCACAGATCGAATACTATGTTTTCTAGTGGCCACATATATTTATTAGTGTTATTAATACTGGGGATTGAACCAGGGTCAGGGGTTACCAGGGACCCACATCCACAGTCTTGCTAAGTTGCTCAGGCTGGCCTCCTATTTAATCCTCCTGCCTCAGTCTCCCAAATGGGTGGAATTACAAGAATGCCTCACCACAAACCAGGAAAACAAACAAACCCACCCACCCTATTTTTAGTTCGGTTATGAGAATAAATTCAGAAAATTATCAAGGAAAAAAGGGGTGGAGTGTGGTAGCACACACCTGTAATCCCAGTGATTTGGGAGGCTGAGGCAGAATACCAAATTCAGGGGCAGCCCCAGTAATTTGTCAGGGTCCAAAAAAGCAGTTTAGGGAGGCCCTGTCCTAAAATTTTAAAAAAGTAAATGAATAAATAAAGGGAAAAAATGGTCCACAGTCACTTCATGTAGGTAGAAATGAAAGCAGTACACACAAAAAATTTGAGCAGTATACAAAGGTATAAGTAAAATGTGTATTTTTCTCATGCCCGGAAATAGTCATTTTAATAAGTTTCTTGTGGGTTTTTTGTTTGGTTCCTTGGTTTTGGCACAGGGTAAAGACTGGCCTCCACGGTGCTATCCTCCTGTCTCAGCCTCTCAAATCACTGAAATTACAGTGTGCCTGGCTTAATGATATGGTGTTTGGGGTTTTTTTTTTGTTTGTTTGGTGCTGGGAATTTGAACTCAGGGGCACTCCAGCCCTATTTTGTATTTTATTTAGAGACATCTCACTGAGTTGCCTAGGATCTGGCTTTTGCTGAGGCTGGCTTTGAATTTGTGATCCTCCTGCCTCAGCTGGGCTTGCAGGCCTGCTCCCAGAGCCCAGCTAATGGTACAATGTTTTTATCTGAAGCAGTTCTTTTACCATGCACAGGTGAAATCTTAATCAGAAAATAAGGAATACACCTTCCAGAGACAATGCAGGCCAACTCCAGACGCAGAGACAGCCCCCATCGCTTTTTATTTTTTGAGACAGAGACTAACTAAATTGCTGAGGCTGGCCGCTAACTAGTAATCCTTTTGCCTCAACCTCCTGAGTCACTGAGATTACCACTCTACCTGGCTCTTTATTTATTTAGTTAGTTGAGGTGAGGCTTTCCATATGTTGTTCACACTGACCCCAGGGAGCCTGGTCTGAATTAATTAAATTGTCTTAAGGTTTTTCTCTGAGTACTAATAATATTGGTTTTGTTTGTTTTTTGTGGTGTTGAGGATTGAACCCAGGGCCTTGTGCATGTGAGGCAAGCACTCCACCAACTGAGCTGTATCCCCAGTCCATGGTTGGGTTTTTTGTTTGTTTTTTTTTTTTTTTTTGGTACTGGGGATTGAACTTGGGGCACTCAGACCACTGAGCCACATCCCAGCCCTATTTTTTATTTTATTTAGAGACAGGGTCTCACTGAGTTGCTCAGTGCCTCCCCATTGCTGAGTCTGGCTTAGAACTCATGATCCTCCTGCCTCACAGGCATTCTCCTCCTCACTGGATTTTGTTTTGTTTTTGTACTGGGGATTGAACCAGGGCTGCTAAACCACTGAGTCACATCCTCAGCCATTTTTATTTTTTATTTTCAGAGAGGCCTTGCTAAGTTGCCGAGGCTGGCTTTGAGCTTGTGATCCTCCTTTATGGTCCTCCCAAGTTGCTGGGATCACTGGTGTGTGTCACTATGCCCAGCTGAACAGTGCTTTGAAGGAGGAGAACAGCTTTGTGTTAGCATGTCTGGAACATACCTGAAGCATATGTTCCTTGAAGTGAGATATGATCACTTAAAAATTAGTTACTGCTGGGGCTGAGGTTGTGGCTCAGTGGTAGAGTGCTTGCCTCGCATGCATAAGACACTAGGTTCAATCCTCAGCACCAAATAAAAATAAAATAAAGGTATTGTGTCTACAATTTACAACTAAAGAAAAAAAAAAAACAGTTACAGCGAGGCATGGTGGTGCATACCTGTAATCCTGATGCTCCAGAGGTTGAAGCAGGAGGATTGCAAGTTTGAGACCATCCTTAGCAATTAAGGGAGGCGCAAAGCAGCTTAGCAAGACCCTGTCTTTTTTTTGGTTTTATTTTTTAAATACATGACAGCAGAATGCATCACAATTCTTATATTACACATATAGAACAGTAAGACCCTGACTTAAAATAAAAAAATAAAAATGGCTGGGGATGTGGCTCTGTAGTTAAGTGCTCCCCCATTCAGTCACCAGTATCAAAAGAAAAAAAAAAAGGAAAAGAAAAAGATACATATTGTAAAATGGCTCTCTAGAAAATTCGCCCCAGTGTGTCTTCTCCTCAACAGTGTGGGGACCTGTCTCCTTCCTTGTCCTTTTGCCCACACTGGTCTCCTCCTCAAACTTTTGTGTTTGCATATCTGATAAATAAGAAATGGTTATCTCCTTGTTTTGCATTTCTCCATCTAGAATGAACTTTCTCTTTCCCCTGTTTACTGGCCCTGGATACTAGTTAAGATTTTGATATGCATGGATAGTCCCAGGTGGAACATTCCAGGGAGAGGCAACTATGCAAGAAATCCTTACTGTGCACTTTGCAATATTTACAGTGTTGTGACTAGGCAAAACTATACAAGGAACTTTCTTGCTGCTAAGTTTCTGTTCCTCATTGAGGTTGCAAATTCTAGGTGCCCCAGGCCAGCTTCTAAGAGGAAGCCTGAGAAGTTGAGAATCAGAGAAGGTCCCTTTTTCTTTTGTCCACCCCCCCTCCCTGGGAGTACTGGGGATTCTACCTTCAGCTTGCTAGGCAAGCTCTCCACCATTCAGCTCCATCCTGAGCCCTTTTTACAATTTTACTTTCAGACAGGGGCTGAGTTGCTGAGGCTGGCCTCAAACTTGGAATCCTCCTACTTTAGCTTCCCTAGTATCTGGGATTATAGGCATGTGCCACCCCACTCAGCCTGATTGAAACCAGGGGTGATTAACCACTGAGCCGCATCCACAGAACTTTCTATTTTTTATTTTGAGACAGGGTCTTGCTAAACTGCTGAGCTTGGCCTCAAACTGACAATTCTCAATTCTCTTCCACATCACTGGGATTACAAATATGTGCCCAGCTGTTTTGCCCATTTTTAATTTAGGTTATTTGTTGTCTTGCTATGGAGTTGTTTGAGTGCCTTATGATTTCTGGTTTGGGGTTTTGTTGTTGTTGTTTGGTACCAGGGATTGAACCCAGGGCCGTTCAACCAGTGAGCCACATCTCCAACCCTTTTATGTTTTGAGACAGGATTTCATTAAGTTTCTGAGGCCTTACTGAGTTGCCGAGACTGTCTTGGAACTGTGGTCCTCCTGCCTCAGCTTCTAGAGCACAGGGATTACTTGTGAGCACCTCTGTGCCTGGCTGGATTCTGATTATTAACCCCTTATCAGATGATTTGTTTGCCAGTATTTTCTCCTATTCTCTAGGTTGTCTTGCTTCATCCTGTGGTTTCCTCTTATAGATCCCTTTCTTTCTGGGGGATCATGATATCTTGGTAGGGTTTTGAAAGATAAGGAAGATTTGGGAAAGTGGAACTAGGGATGGAAGTCTGAGCAGGCAACACAGCAGATTAGCAGGAAGCTCCTCTTGGGACCACACTGGAGGATGAGACCCAATGAGGAAAGTAGGATTTAGCCTCAGTATCGGGCTGGGTCTAGAAGTGGAAGAGGGCTTGGTGTTCTAATTAGCTGACCCAATTTTCAGAAAGCTCTGAGTGACATAGGATATTCAGCAAAAGAGCTGACAGTTCCACTTTTTTTTTGTTTTTTAATTAAAAAGATTTTTTTTTTTTTTTGGTAACTACATCCCCAGCCCTTTTTGGTTTTTATTTTTTAGTACTATTATTATTTTTAAGATGTTGATGGATCTTTATTTTATTCATTTGTTTATATGTGGTGCTGAGAATTAAACCCAGTGCCTCACACATGCTAGGCAAGCGCTCTACCACTGAGCCACAAACCCAGCCCCTTTGTTTTTTATTTTGAGACAGGGTTTCACTTTTTGCTTAGGGCCTTGCTAAATTGCTAAGGCTGGCCTTGAATTTGCAATCCTCCTGACTCTGGAGCTGCTGGGATTCATACGCCACCATGTCCTGCCAGTTTTACATATTTGCAGGAAAAAAATATTAAAGAAATAAAGGAGGGCTGGGGATGTGGCTCAAGCGGTAGCGCGCTCGCCTGGCATTCGTGCGGCCCGGGTCCATCCTCAGCACCACATACCAACAAAGATGTTGTGTCCGCCGAGAACTAAAAAATAAATATTAAAAAATTCTCTCTCTTTAAAAAAAAATAAAAAAATAAAATGTTTGCTGGGCAAGGTGGGGCACACCTGTAATCCCAGCACTCTCCAGGCTGAGATGGGAGGATTGCGAGTTCAAAGCCAGCCTCAGCAATGGCAAAGTGCTAAGCAACTCAATGGGACCCTGTCTCTAAATAAAATACAAAATTGGGCTGAGGGTGTGGGTCAGTGGTTGAGTGCCCCTGAGTTCAATCCCTGGTATCCCAAAAAATTTTAAAAAATAAAACAGTAAAAGCTCAGGTATAGGGTTGGGGATATAGCTCAGTTGGTAGAGTGCTTGCCTTGTATGCATAAAGCTTCCCAGGGCTGGAGTCCTGCTCTGTGACCTCATTTAACCTCCATCACCTCATAGTCCCGAACTCCAAAAAAAAAAAAAAAAAAAAAAATCACACTGGGCATTAGGGCTTCAACATAGGAATTTGTGGGAAACACAAGTGTTCACCTTAACCAAAAAATAGCACTAGAAAAAAGATTTGCAAGCACAAAACAAGAGACTATTCCAAAACAGCGTTGTAATAAAGTTTTAGAATTCACTGTTGTTCATTTCTGTATTGGGAGTTGAACCCAGGGGTGCTCTACCACGGAGCCACATCCCCACTCCTTTTTATTTTTTATTTTGAGACAGGGTCTCGCTAAGTTGCTTAAGGCCTCATCAAGTTGCTGAGGCCAGTCCTGAATTTGTGACCCTCCTGCCTCAGCGTCCCAAGTTGCTGGGATTACTGGTACGTGACACTGTACCTGGGAAAATTTACTATTTTGTTATATAAATAAGAAGGTATTTATTGTGAGCAGTGGTGCTAGGGGTACCCAGAAAATATGGATAGGCAAACAGAAAGTAAAAATTATCCTGTTGGGCACAGTGGCGCATATCTGTAATTCCAGTTGCTCAGGAGGCAGGAGGATGACAAGTTTGAGGCCAACCTTGGCAAGCCTGACCCCAAGTAAAAATTTTTCAAAGGCAACAGCAACTTGGAGAGATGCCTTGGCCAAAGTGCCCCAAACCATGCCTGGTTGCAAAGTGTCTCAGAAGTAAAACACTCCTGGGATCAACCCCCAAATCAGCAAAGATATAGTGTGGAGTAGAACGGAAGAGAGGGAAGCAAAGCAGGGCTGGGCACATGGAGTCCTATAGCCCCAGCTACGGAGAAGGCTGAGGCAGGAGGATGGCAAATTCAAGGCCAGCCTCAGCAACTAGCCAGACCCTGTCTCAAAATAAAAAAATATAAATGGCCTGAGATGCAGTTCAGCGGTAAAGTGCCCCAGTACAAAAAAAAAAAAAAATAGAATATGCAGAGCTGGGTTTACAGGTGTGCAGTAGTGGATACCAGCTCTGGGTTCATTCAATTTTCAGCATTGCAAAAAATTAAAAGAAATATCTTAAAAGTATCTTACCACACATAAATACATTCTCCCTATGGCCCTGGCCATGCTGAAAATTGAACCCAGGCCTCCACACGTTAGGCAAGTTTGTCACCCTGAACTATGTTCCCAGCCCGTAAGTAACTGCTCTTACTGTTCTGGTGATTTCCCCTTTCAGATTTTTTCTCACTGTGTGTTTGTGTATTTGAACCCCAGAGATCTGTGTGTGTCCCTGCATGGGTGCACGCACACAGTTTAGCTCTCTATGTCTCCTGACTATCTCAATAAAACATCTGTGCCTTACCAACAATATGGTGGTGCACTGGGTTCGAGTCTCAGCACCACATATAAATAAAGGTCCATTAACAACTAAAAAGTATTTAAAAAAAAAATATATATATATAGTGGTGCAGATACATGGATGCTATTGGTGAGTATTTTGATTGTTTGTAACTTGAAGATGATCAAAGCAGGACTGGGGATATAGATCAGTTGGTAGAGTGCTTGCCTCAAATGTACAAGGCCCTGGGTTCAATCCCCAGCACCACAAAAAAAAAAAAAAAAAAAAAAATCATCAAATCAGGTCTTTGGCCAGGTGCAGTAGTGCACACCTGTAATCCCAGCGGCTTTTCTGCTCCTGGTCCTTTACCTGAAGGGGTTGGATGGGATGTGGCACACTGACCCATAGTAAAGATGGCACTGATGTTCTGTGTTGTTCTCTTTACAGCAGTTCTCAGCCCTAACAGAAGTAATTTTCCACTTCCTAATCGAGCCCAAAGAGGTAAGTATTTTGTGATAAGGACAATTGCGAAGCACAGGTCAGTAGGACTGAGGAACTTCGAAAGTGAACTCCTGGTCCCTCTTTTCAGGTGGAAAGGTTTCTGGCTCAACTGTCTGAATTTGCCACCACCAATCAGATCAGTCTGGGCCCTCTCAGAAGCATCGTGAAAAGCCTCCTCCTGGTTCCCAATGGTGAGTAGCTCCATCAGCACTTGTGGCTGGAGATGTTACCCAACATGCTTTTTTGAGGGGTGGGGGTACCAGGGATTGAACTCAGGGGCACTTGACCACTGAGCCACATCCTCAGTCCTATTTTGTATTTTATGTAGAGACAGGGTCTCACTGAGTTGCTTGGAACCTCACCTTTGCTGAGGCTGGTTTAGAACTCATGATCCTCCTATCTCAGTCTCCCTAGCCCCGTGATTACAGACTTGTGCCACCACCGCGCCCAGCACCTGAGCATTCTTGAGTCCAGAGAGTCATCCAAGTATACTCACGATCCTCCTGTCTCAGCCTCTCAGCTGCTGGGATTAGAGGTGTACACCACCACACCTGGACCTTTTTATTTTTAAATTTTTAATAATTTTTTTTGTGTGTGTGCGGTGCTGAGGATCAAACCCAGGGCCTTATGCATACAAGGTAAGCACTCTACCAACTGAGCTATATCCCCAGCCCAGCCCTTTTTTTTTTTTTTAATTTTGAGGTGGGTTTCTCTAAATTACCCAGGCTGGTCTTGAACTTGTGATTGTCCTGCCTCAGCCTTCCAAATTACTGGGATTATAGGCTTGGGCCAACTTGCTCAAGTATACTACAGATGTTTTGAGGAACAGAGTTTGCCTAGAACAATCAGGAAACGTTCCCAGTGGAAGGGAGGAGGTCAGGAACAGGAATGTTCAGCTGTAGGGATGTTCATTGTAGTACTATTTATGGTGGAGCAAAATTAGAAACCATCAGATTGCCTGGCAGCAAGGGATTGTTTTAACAAGCCGTGGTCATTCTTTACAGGGAAACATGGGGGTCAAAAACATACTTCTGGGCTGGGGCTGGGACTGCGACTGGGCTCAGTGTAGAGCGCTTACCTAGTGTGTGTGAGGCACTGGGTTGGATTCTAAGCACCATATAAAAATAAATAAAATAAAGGTATTGGTCCATCTACAACTAAAGAAAAAAAAAATTTTTTTTTTAATTGTATACTTCTGCCAGGCACGGTGGCACATGCCTGTAATCCCAATAGTTTGGGAGGCTGAAACAGGAGGTTTGCAAGTTTGAACCCAAAAGTCTCAGCAAAAAGTGAGGAGCTAAGCAACTCAGTGAGACCCTGTCTCTAAATAAAATACAAAAGGGGGCTGGGGATCTGGCTCAGTGGTCAAGTGTCCCTGAGTTCAATCCCTGCTATCCAAAAAAAAAAAAAAAAAGGTATACTTCTGCCAGGCATGGTGGCCCAGGCCTATAGTTCAGCAGCCTAGGAGGCTGAGGCAGGAGAGTCCAAAGTTCAAAGCCAGCTTCAGCAATTTAGCAAGGTCCTAAGCAACTTAGTAAGATCCTGTCTCAAAATAAAAAATAAGGTCTGAGGATGTGGCTCAGTTGGTAAGTGCCCTAGTTCAGTCCCTGCTACAAAAAAAAAAAAATACATACACACACACACACACACACACACACACACACACACTTCTGAGTCAGCCAGGTGCCTGATATCTCCACACCCCTAGAAGTGGCCCTCCAGAGCAGTGATCTTCCCTCCAACTAAGCAATTTTTTTTTAAGGTGGGGGAACATGTACAGATTGAGATCATGTAAATAAAATGCTTAGCCCTAATAAAAGGTGTTTTTTTTTTTTTCTATTATTCGCTAATTTAAAAGATGCTATTGATTGGGGCTGGGGATGTGGCTCAAGTGGTAGTGCGCTCGCCTGGCATGCATGCGCCTCCGTTTCGATCCTCAGCACCACATACAAACAAAGATGTTGTGTCCGCGGAGAATTAAAAAATAAATAAATATTTAAAAAAATTCTCTCTCTCTCTCTCTCATCTCTCTCTAAAAAAAAAGAAAAAAAGAAACACCATCTTACTAAGTTACTTAGGGCCTCACTAAATTGCCAAGACTGGCCTCAAACTTGCAATCCTCTTGCCTTGGTATCAGGAGTCACTGGGATTTCAGGAATGTACCACCATGCCTGGTTTTATTTTTTATTTTGATACAGCATCTTGTTAAGTTGAAGGTGCTGGACTCAAATGTGTGATCCTCCTGCCTTGGCCTCATGAGTTGCTAGGAGTACAGGCACGCACCAGCAAGCCTGGCCACTGATCATAAAAATAGTTTAAGAACGGAAGGTGTATGTAGCTCAGTGGTAGAGTGTGTGCTTAGCATATTTGATTTGAGACACTGGGTTGGATTCCTCAGCATGGGGGCAAAGAACAAAGTTAGCTGTGGCCATATCTAGAAGGTAGGATTCCAAGTTGGTCTAATTGTTTGCTTTTTGGCTATGTATTGTCTACCAGGTTGCTACTGTTAATATGGAAAATTAACTAATAGTTTATTTAAAGACAAATGTGAGGGCTGGGGATGGAGCTTGGTGGTAGAGCACTTACTGGCCTACCATGCACAGGGGTCCTGGTTTCAGTACTGCAAAGGGGGGGAGGGAAGAAGGGGGAGAGAGAGGAGGAAAGAAGGAGAGGGTATGGAGGGAAGAAGGGGGAGAGAGAAGGGTAACTTTGAGCCTAGTTTTGAAGAGTGAGTAATTTTGACCAGGCTGAGAGGAATTAGGCCAGCATCCTGAGCCAAACACTGGTGCACACCTGCAACCCCAGCTACTCAGGTGAGGCAGAAGGATTCCAAGTTCAAGGCCAGCCTGGGCAACTTAGACCCTGTCTCTAAATAAATTTTATTTTTAAAAAGGACTGGGAAAGTAGCTTAGTGGTAGAACAACCCTGGGTTCAATCCAAAAAAAAAAAAAAAAATGAAGAAACTGGGGGCTTAATTTGTTTGTCCCTGTGGTGGTACCTTCCCTTCCCTTCCACCCCCTTTTTTTTTCCTGTACCAGGGATTGAACCCAGGGGTGCTTAACCATGAACCATATCCCCAGCTACTTTTTGAGACAGGGTCTTGCTAAGTCATCTAGGGCTTCACTAAGTTGCTGAGACTGGCCTTGAACTTGTGATCCTCCTGCCTCAGCGTGCACTACTGCACCAAACTGAAAATCCCTTCTTTGCCTTGTATTATGCTCCTTAGATTCTATAGGGTGAAACCAGAACAGTCTAGAGGTTTCCAATTGCAAAATTTTCTKATCTATTTCTGTGATTCTTGCATTTTTTTGTCCTCTTGGTTGAATGAGAAATTGAAGTTTCTTTTAATATAGGAACACGTTTTTATTACAAACTTTTTAAATAATGCAGAGCTATGGAGGAATCAAAAGTGAAAATCCCAGGCTGGGGAGGTTCTCAGTGGTTGAGCACTAACAGAGCACATTGTTTGAGGCCCTGTACCTAAAAAAAAATTTTAAAAAAAAATGTTTTTAGTTGTAGATGGAGCTTTATTTTACTTATTTTTATGTGGTTCTGAGGTTCAAACTTAGTGCCTCACATGGGCCAGGCAAGCACTCTACCATTGAGCCCCAGCCCCCGCTCCTGAAAAACATTTTAGTAGGAGGAGCGTAAATGAGGGGTGTGTGTGTGTGTGTGTGTGTGTGTGTGTGTGTGTCCCTGACAATCAAACCCAGGCCTTTGCCCACGCTGAACAGGTGCCAGGCACTGAGCCCTGAGCTGCACTCTCAGTCCTCAAGCCTTTATTGGTTGACTGACCAGCCAGCTTTCGGCCCTGTGTCTCACTGTCAAGTTTCCATCACCTGCTGATGGGGACCTGAACTTGCCTCTTGACTGGTCAGGTTCTGGGTAGAGCGCTCTGGGGTCTGATCTGCTGAACCTCTGAGTCCACTCTCAGCTTCTCTTCCTTTTACACTCTGTCCTGCGGGGCCTTCCTGCCTGATCCTCTGTTTCTTCTAGAACATCTCTGAAGCATCTGAGATTGCAGCTTGGAAGTCTCATGGCCCCTTCTTCTGCCTTGTCCTCTGATGTCTRTCTTTCCAGTCCCAAAGGCGCCATCCCAGGACAAGTTCTCAGCCTTGGGGCTTAGGTAGGGCATTAAGGGCCCCAGCGTGGTTCCTGTTGCTGCTCCCAGCTCCTTACCATCTGTAATGGAGTCTTTAGTTTGGCACCCAGGACCCTTTACCGTTTAATCCACAAAGTAAGAGCCTTTGGGTCCCATCCCCTTCTCTTCCGGAACCCTGGTTGTGCTTACCTGGTAAGACGCCATTGCAACAGTGCCGCTTGTCAGAGCTGAGGGGGCCTCCCAGGGACTCCCCAGTCGGCATGTCATGTCCACCAATACAAGGCTTCAGTGGCCACACAGAGCCAGGACTTCCTTGTTCCCCAGCCCTAGCCTTGGAACCTTGGAGACTMACACACACTGCCATGTCTCAGCCTCCAGAAAGTTCTGTAGGGAAGAAGCTGCTGGACCAGTGTCTGTTCACTGGGAACTGTGCAGCCCTCCTTTTTGGGAGGTGGGGACAGAAGGGATCTCAAGTAAAAGCTTTGAAAAGTGCTTTTTTTGTTGTTGTTAAGAGACAGGGTCTCACTTAAGTTGCCTAGGCTGGTTTCAAACTCCTGGGCTCAAGTGATTCTCCTGCCTCAGCCTCCTGGGTTACTGGAATTAGAGGTATGCACCACCCACACCTGGCAAGTATGCAATTCATAAGAGGACCCCACTTTCGCAGCTGTCCACCTCAGGCCAAATTGTTTCATCTGCACCCACCCCTTTTTTATTGCTCTCCAAACTGAGTTATTTTAAAGTAAATGTCAGTTGTACCATTTTACTGCTAAGTACTATCTCTAAAAGATAACCACAATGTCATTATCATCTGAAAGGAAACTATGCAATCAGTGCTCAGATGTCCCCATTGTCTAGTGCAGTGAGTGTGTGGGTGGTTGGTTGCTCCCATCTGGATCCACATAGGGCTCCACCTTGCATTTGGTTGCTGGGTGGCCTTCCAGAAAGTCCTCCCTTACTCCCTGTGGCTGCAAAAGAGCTGGGAGACCTTGAGCCAGGTGACTGAACTTGTCTAAGAATCAGTTTCATCAAGGATGGAATGGAGCTTGAGGGCACCTCAAGCTGCTTGCTAGAAAGATGGAGAAAGCTAATGAATGTAAAGTGCTGACCAGAGTGCGTGATGGCTGGCCCTGCTGCTTTTATTATGATTGTCATTATGGTTATGTCATCTTTTAGGACTACAGATAACTTTGCAGTAGAGACACTAGTGAAGCCTGGGTTTTTCTGGTATTTTTGTGTTTTTTAGTACTAGGGATTGAGCTTAGGGGTGTTCTACCACTTAGCTAAGTCCCTAGCCCTGCCCCGCCCCGCATTTTGAGACAGGGTCTCCCTAAGTTTCTCCGGCTGCAATCCCGATTGCATGAGCCATCACACTAGGCTGTCTCAGGAGTTTTCCCCAAGGCCTCCTTAGGTCCAGGGCTGSAGGCCTGCCTTGGCTGGCATTTGCTCAGAACAAAGGAATCACCAAAGGAAGAAACTGAAGAAGTTGAGATCCTGAGGCCTCCCAGGAGGCAGATGCATTTTAAGTCTGGCTCCTGCCTCCTGCCTGCGGGAGACCAGAGCATGCTCCTGGGCCTGGAGCTCAGTGAGCCTTCCTGTCCTTCACTGTTGAGGCACTGCCAGGACAGCCTGTCAGGATGACCTGGAGCAGGAAGAATTTGGTGCCAGTCTGACCTGAAAGCCACTTGGCTCTGCCACTGACTGGCTGTTGTGGCCTTGCTCAAAAAAGTAACTTTTATTTTCTTAATAAAAATGTACAACCAGGTGCAGTGGCATGCGCCTGTAATCCCAGTGGCTTGGGAGGCTGAGGCAGGAGGATCATGAATTCAAAGCCAGCCTCAGCAGCAGTGAGGCACTAAGCAACTCAGTGAGACCCTGTCTCTAAATAAAATACAAAATAGGGCTGGGGATGTGACTTATGAATTGTAATTCATTCTGCTGTGATATATAACAAACTAGATTAAAAAATTAAAACAAAACAAAATAGGGCTGGGCATGTGGCTCAGTGATTGAGTGCCCCTGAGTTCAATCCCAGGTACCCACCTCCACAAAAAAGTCTTGGGAGCCCTGGCGCAAGCCTGTAATACCAGTGGCTTGGGAGGCTGAGGCTGGAGGATCCTGAATTCAAAGCCAGCCTCAGTAATTTAGTGAAGCTCTAAGCAACTCAGCAAGACCCTGTCTCTAAATAAAATACAAAGCAGGGCTGGGGATGTGGCTCAGTGGTTGAGTATCCCTGAGTTCAATCCCTGGTAGCCCCCCCTGAAAAAAATGCCCACAATTTTACCACTTTCACATTAAAACAACAACAACCTACTTTTACATGATTAGACTTTTTTTAATGTATTTTTTTTTAGTTGTCAATGAACCTTTATTTATGTATTTTAAAAAATTTTTTGTTGGTGCTTGATATTGAACCCAGGGCCTTGTGCCTGCTAGGCAAGCACTCTGCCAACTGAGCTATACCTTGGGTCCCACTTATTTATTTATTTATTTATTTATTTATTTATTTATTTATCAGATGTTTTCAGCTGTAGATGGACACGAATCTTTATTTTATTTATTTATTTATGTGGTGCTGAGGATGGAACCTAGTGCCTCACACATGCCAGGCAGCTCTCTGCCACAGAGCCACATACAATCCCAGCCCCCATTAGAGAATTTTGAAACAACAGAAGGAAGAAAATAAAAGGGGCTGGAGGGAGATTTCAGTGGTAGTGTATTTGCAAAAAAAAAGATCTGCTCTGGCCATAAACCAGGGAGCTGTCCCCTTGGTGGTCATGAGTGCACTGTCCCCTTGGTGGTCATGGGTGCATCTCATGGCTGGGAAGTCTCCCCTCTCAAGAGCCTATGGCTGGGGTTTCCTGGGGTCTTGCGTTTTTATTTCCCCGTGGCTTCCTTGCCCAGTCTGATCTTGGAGATAAAAGATTTCCTCTCTTTGTTTATGTGGTGGATTTTTACCGGCACCACAGCCTTTGGGATTGTTTTCCTGGAGGGGGTGGGGGTGRGCACTTGGACTCAGGGTGTAGGCTCAGGGCCCTGCCTTAGCCCTGGGTGTCTTTTTATCCTTTATTTAATTATTTTTTGGTGATTGAGAAGTGGATAGTCACAGAGCGCTTGTCCAGTTGTGACTCTAGGCTGCCCTCTGAAGTTGAAACCTTGAGAAGCCCAGACTGCTGGCCACATTCTGTCTTCAGGAATTGCAGCTGAAAGCAGGACAAAGCAACCCCTGGAGGGGTGTTCTAGGGCTTCTGGAGGGAAGCTGAGACAGCCCCCTGCAAGTCACTTGTGAGCTGTAGAGGCCAGATGGCACTGTCTAGTAGAATTGTCTCTTTTATTCTCAGCCTGGACTCAAAGTTGTGATCCTCCTGCCTCAGCCTCCCCAAGTAGCTGGAATTACAGGCATGTGCATCCCATGGAGCTCCAGCGGAACCCAGAGATGCTTTCCCACGGAGCCACCACCCACTCTGGCTATTTCTTATGTTGAGACAGGGTCTCACTRACTTGCTTARGGCCTCACTGAGTTGCAGAGGCTGGCCTCAGGCTGCCAAATCACTGACTTCCCATAGAACTTTCTAGGCAAATGGGAATGGCCTATAATCTGCACTGTCCAGTGCAGTGGTCTCTGACCCTGTGTAGCTACTGAGCATTTGAAACAGCGCAACAGTAGGCTTTTAAATTTTACTTAATTTTAGTTAAAATGGTAGTGACAGCCAGGCACTGTGGTACACACCTTGTAATCCCAGCGACTCAGTGGAGGTTTAGGCAGGAGGATGGCAAGTTTGAGGCCAGCCTCAGCAAYTGAGACCCTGTATTTAAATAAAAATAAATCAGTGTAAGTGACCAGCTTCTCCCACCCTCCCTGGAGGGCCTCTCCATACTTGTACAGTGACCAGCATTGTTTCAGAGGTGTGTCTCCCCTCCCCCTGCTGGGTTGCAATCTTCCTGGTGCATAAGCCTTTTGTCCTCTGCATCCCCCAGGTTATGCCGGTCAAATACTTGTTGCAGCTGATTCATTCTCGCCCTGTCTCCCCTGCCTCCCAGGTGCCTTGAAGAGGAGTCTCACAGCGGAGCAGGTCCGGGCGGATTTCCTAACTCTGGGTAGGTCACGCCCAGGGCTGCTGGGGGAGGGCCGCTGGGCTGTTTGTTATGCTGATGAGCCCCCTTTCTCTTGCAGGCCTCAGCGAGGAGAAAGCCACTTACTTTTCTGAAAAGGTATAGTTCTCATCAAGGTTAGGATGGGGTGCTTTTATTTCAGTGGAAAGGAAAGAAAGGGGAAGTGCTGATGGGTAGGACCCTCAAGGCCTCATTTCTTTGGGTGCCACACCAACCAGTGACACCGGGCTTCTGACCCGCCTTGTTTAGTAGGTGTCATGCATGTCACATTTTTTCTTCTCTAATTTGATGGAATATAAAGTTTTTTGTTTGGTCGTTTTTTTTGCTTTTTGTTTTTTCTTTGTGTGTGTGTGTGGTGCTGGGGATTGAACCCAGGGCTTTGTGCATGGGAGGCAAGCCCTCTACCAACTCTACCCTCAGCCCTGTTTTTTTGTTTGTTTGTTTGTTTGGTTTTTTTGGTACAGGGATTGAACTCAGGGTCACTCAATCCCTGAGCCCCATCCCCAGCCCTATTTTTATTTATTTAGAGACAGGGTCTCACTGAGTGCTTAGGGCCTCCCTTTGGCTGAGGCTGGCTCTGAACTCACAGTCCTCCTGCTTCAGCGTCCTGAGCTTCTGGGATTAATAAATATAGTTTTGGGGTCAACATGGGTTAAGTCTTGGAAGGGAAGAAAACAATCACCTCGGCTTCCCTGCTCCACACCTCTCCTACCCCCCAGGTGTGTGAGTGGGGAGGAGCCTTGGCTCTGTCTTCTCCCCACTCCCTGTAAATACTGAACTGCTGTTTGGGGCGGCATGGAGAGGGGGTGCGTTTTTCCCATGTTGTGACTCTGGCCTTTGCTCTGCTCACAGTGGAAACAGAACGCCCCCACCCTTGCTCAGTGGGCCCTGGGGCAGACCCTGATGATCAACCAGCTTATCGACATGGAGTGGAAGTTCGGAGGTAACTGGTCAGAGCCAGCTCCAGGTCCTTTGGCTGCAGGATCCGGAGGGTTTGGGAGTCCTAGTCCTGGGGCCAGCAGCTGCTCCTCCCCATCCCCCTGGGCCAGCTTGCACTCACACAGCTCCTGGGGACAACCTGTAAAATCGGGGTTTTCTGGGAAATCCTTCATCAGTCACTTCTTCACTTATTTTTCTCTTTTGTATCACAGTGACATCTGGAAGCAGTGAATTAGAAAAAGTGGGCAGTATTTTTTTACAAGTAAGTCTTCTCTTGATCTTTGAAAATGAGGAAAAAGGGCTAAGGTTGTGGCTCAGCCTTAGAGCACTCGCCTCTCATGTGCGAGGTCCTGGATTCGATCCTCTGCACCACATAAAAATAAATAAATAAAGATAATGTGTCCAACTACAACTTAAAAAAAAAGAAAATGGGTAAAAAGAAATTATTGGTTAAAAAAAATTATTAAGCCATTAAATCCCRGGTATTCCATCCAGGGCAGGCAGGGCAGGAGGATTGCAAATTCAAGGCTAGCCTCAGCAATTTAGTGAGACCTAATCTCAAAGTTAAGAAAAAAATAATAACTGGGGGCTTAGCACAGGGGTGAATTGACCCTGGGTTCAATACCCTATACCAAAAAAAAAAAAAAAGAAGAAGAAGAAGAAGAAACTGGGCTGGGATATAGCTCAGTTGGTAGAGTGCTTGCCTTTCCTCACATACACAAGGCCCTGAGTTCAATCCCCAAAGAAACTATGTTGGAGGGCTACGAGTGTGGCTCAGTGGTAGAACACTTGCCTAGCATGTGTGAGGCCTTGGGTTCAATGTTAAATGTCTGTGTAAATACTTATTCCACTGAATTTAAATCAGAGAAGTGTGATCCACCAAGGGCATGGTCACTGACTTGCCTACTTCTAGATTCACAGATCCTAGCCCAGTGCAATGGCACACTCCTGTGATCCCAGCAACTCGGGAGGCTGAGGCAGGAGGATCACAAGTTGAAGGCCAGCCTCAGCAACTTAGTGAGACCCTAAGCAATTGAGTAAGACCCTRTCTCAAAACAAAAAGGTCTGGAGATGTAGTTCATGTGTAAAGTACCCCGGGTTCAATCCCCAGTATAAAAAAAAAATTAACAGATCTTAATATTATTCCTGAAAGTTTGGTTCTTCCTGTGATCATGGGAAGTGTCAGAGCTCCTATGGGGGGTGATGGGGACCACTTCTGTGCATCCTGTGATGATGGGTTGGGGCTTGGGAGCAGAGCCCTGGAATGCTTTGACATTGAATTTGGATTAAAGGGTTTTGGGGAATTTCTTTGCCCAGTTGTCATCCTCTTAATTTATGGGTTTTTGTTTGTCTGTTTGTTTGTTTGTTTTTGGTGTTTTGTTTTGTTTTGTTTTAGTTAAAGTTGGTGGTTAAAAAAGGAAATCAAACTGAAAATGTGTACCTAGGTGAGTATGGATCCTGCTGAGCCTTTCCCAGGTTCTCTTCTGTCCCTTGGCTGGGGAGACCCACCACCAGCCATGTCTCCAGGGAGAGGGTCTCCACCAGGCTGTGCAGGAGCCACCCCTGACCTTCCCCCTCAGGAAACCTGGTGCCAGAGCTTTGCTAAGCCACCAGCCTGTTGCAGACCCTGCCCTTGAAGGGCCTTTGTGAACAGGGAACTGTGGGGGCTTGGGAGGCTCCAAGCATGATGAAGACCAGAGGTTCTGGCTGAGCCTCCCCTTAGGCTTTCCTGACTCTGTGCTGTGGAGTGGTCCATTTCACACACTCCCCCATTTTTCTTAGGGAGCCAAGAACCTTCTGTGTTCAGGACTCTGTCCTTTACTGTGACCAATTTCCCATCTAGAGCTACTTAGATGTATGTGCTAAGCCAAAAGAGAAAACAATCTGTGGTTGAGGATGTGGCTGAAYGGTAGAGTGCTGCCTAGCATGCACTGGCCCTGGCATGGGTCCCCCAAACTCAGCACACAAAAACAAGAACAAAACAAAAACAAAAAAATCCCTGACTGGGAGTCTTGGCCCACACCTGTAATCCCAGCAACCCAGGAGGTTGAGGCAGGAGGATCACAAATTCAAAGCCAGCCTCAGCAGCTTCAACTTAKCGAGGCCCTAAAGAATTTGGGGAGAACCTGTCTTAAAATAAAATATTAAAAAGGGCTGGGAATGTGGCTCAGTGGTAAGCGCCCCTGGGTTCAGTCCCTAGTACAGGGGAAAAAAAAAAAAAAACAACTCAGTAGAAATGGACTCTCCTGGTGGTTGTTCCGTTCTATAGAGTTGGAAACATTTACCTCAAACTGGATTTTTTTTCTCCCCAGAATTAACCCTGCCCCAGTTCTACAGCTTCCTGCACGAGATGGAGCGAGCCAGAACCAGCATGGAGTGTTTGAGCTGATTTCTCTGTCACCTTCCCTTCCCTGGTGACTGTTCTCAAGGCACCTTCCTCTGGCCATGGGCTCTCCAGGTGGCCCTGCTGGCTCTGGGGAGTGCAGGTGCACAGAGGCTTCTGAAAAACAAGGGGATTAAGTACTTACAGAGCCCAGCCCAGAGAATCGCCAGGAACACCACCACCACCCATCTCCAGACAAGTTTTAGATACCAACAGGCTACTGACTACACCTCAGATTTGGGTGGGGGGAGGCCTCATCTCCCCACCAAAGTTCCACAGTAAAGAAATGGTACCTGGGGGCCAGGGTTGTGGTTCAAGTGATAGAGCACTTGCCTAGCATACGTGAGGCACTGGGTTTGATTCTCAGCATCACATAAAAATAATATAGATATTGTGTCCACCTAAAACTAAAAAATAAAATATTTTAAAAATAAAAAAAAAGAAACCGGTATCTGGGCTAAATAAAGACATGAAAAAAAAAAAAAAAAGAAACGATGCCATCACTTGAAATAAACACTCAACAGCAACTCAAGAGGCTGAGGCAGGAGGATCACAAGTTTAAGGCCAGCCTCAGCAACTTAGTAAGACCCTATCTCAAAAAAAAAAATTAAAAGCAGGGGGCTGGGGTTGCGGCTCAGTGGTAGAGCTCTTGCCTAACATGTGTGAGGCACTGGGTTTGATTTTGCACCACATACAAATAAATAAAGATCCATTGACAACTAAAATATTTTTAAAATAAAATGGGCTAAGGATGTAATTCAGTGGTAAAGCACCCCTGGCACCCCTGGGTTTAATCCCCCATACTAAAAAAAAAAAAAAAAAAAAAGGCAACATGCTAATTACCCTCCCCTCACCCAAAGCAGAAGCCTGTTTATGGCCAGTGGAGGGGCAGTTTGCACAGGTGGCGGACAGAGAGGGCTCTGTATGTGGTGGTGCTGGTGGTGGGTTGCCCATCTGTCTTAATGTTTATTTGGGATCTAGCTGACCACCTGTGTTGGTTAGATGATAAATAATACAGGTTCTGAAGAAAAGGTCTAAGTCCAATTTTTTTAAAGAATTTTTTTATACATTTATTTTGTTTATTTTTATATGGTGCTGAGGATCAAACCCAGGGCCTAGCACGTGCTAGTGCTACATGAGCACTCTATCTCTGAGCCCCAGCCCTAAATCCAGTTTTCTTTGTGCATGGATTAAAAACTCATCTGCTTAGCAGAGAGCTAAGGCCTTCCCTAGCCAGGCAGAGTGGTTTATGCCTATGATCCCAGCCACTCCCGAGGCTGAGGCAGGAGGATGGCAAGTTTGAAGGCAGCTTCAGCAATGGAGCAAGGCCCTAAGCAGCTTAGTGAGACCTGTCTCAAAATAAAAACAAGGGGGCTGGGGCTGGGGCTCAGTGGCAGAGCACTTGCCTAGCATGTGTGAGGCACTGGGTCTGATCCCCAGCATCACATAAAAAAGCTAAACAAAATAAATGTATTGTGTCCATCTACAACTAAAAAATAAAGAAAATAATAAAAAGGGCTAAGGACATGGCTTGATGGTCAAACACCCCTGGGTTTAATCTCTGGGCGCCTAAAAATGGGGATCCTGAGAACTCTGGGGGACCTCAGCACATCCAGTGCTGCCGGTCTCTCAGGACACTGCAGCACTTGCTCTCAGCTGGCCACTGGACAGATTCTGGCCAGCAGCTCTTTGCCCTGCCCAGGTCAGATGGGTCACCACAGTGGCTTCCAGATGACCCCACCTGTCTTCAGCCTCAGCTTCTTCTGCAGCCCTGCCCACTTCCTGCTGGTCTTATGTGAGCCCACAAATCCAGCTGCTCAGGCTCCACATGGCATCCAGGATGAAGCCCAACCCCCAACAGTGTGGCCCTGCCCACCTCTTCCAACACTCCATCTCCACTGTCCCCTAGCAGGTCCCTGTACTGGATCTCAAGCCATGGGCCCTCTCCTCTTGTCCCCTTGGACCTACAGTGCTTCCACACACTTCAGAGGGTCTCACAGGACCTCTTGGGCCTTCATCCATCTGCTGCAGGGGCCAGGAGTGCAGCTCTGGAGTTGGAGTGCCTAGGTTCCCATACTGGCCCTTTTGCTTATTAACCATGTGACCTCTGGCACCTCCTTCACCTCAAAACCACAGCTCCACCAGGCGCCCGTGGACACATCTGAAATCTAGATATTTAGAGCTGAGGCAGGAATACAAATTCAGACCAGCCACAGCAACTAAGCAAGACCCTGTCTCAAAAAAAAAATAAGCCAGGCACGGTGGCACATACMTATAATCCTAGGGACCCCGGAGGCTGAGGCAGGAGGATCACAAGTTCAAAGCCAGCCTCAGCAATTTAGCAAGGCCTTAAGCACCTCAGTGAGACCCTGTCTCTAAATAAAGTACAAAATAGGACTGGGGATGCGGCTCAGTGGTTAAGTGCCCCTGAGTTCAATCCTTAGTACCCAAAAATAGTAAGAAGGGCTGGGGATATAGCTCTGTGGTAAAGCACCCCTGGGTTCAGTCCCCAGTACAGGTAGGAGAGGACTGTCTTAAAATGGGTGCAGTTCTCACCTGAGTTACCAAGTAGATCACTTAGCACGAGATACCTCCTCCACTAAGCTGGGAGCTACTCCTTTTCAATTTATTGTAATTTTTTGTTTCCAGGATTCTTTTCCTATGAGTGATTTTGTGTTTGTTTTACAGAAGTACTAGGGACTGAGGCCAGTGGTGCTCTATCACTGAGCCTCATTGCACCTCCTTTTTATTTTTTTTTATTTATTTTTTTTGTTATTTTTTTTATTGGTTGTTCACAACATTACAAAGCTCTTGACATATCATATTTCATACATTAGATTGAAGTGGGTTATGAACTCCCAATTTTACCCCAAATGCAGATTGCAGAATCACGTCGGTTACACATCCAC